GTAGGGAAATGCTGCAGATACTAAAATTCTACTTCATTTGTGGAAAATGAAGATAGACTCTTCTAGAGTCTTTGATCATGAGCTCGGCTACATTCATTTTAGAAACACACATTTGACATGGCTCAGTGGAAAGTCAGCTAGGGGCTGTGAATATAGGTCACTCAGTATAGGAGACTGTATTTTGGAAAGCATTGACTCAGAAAATGATTTGGAGCTCTGATGTATTACCAGTTGAGCATGAAATTGCAGTACAATGCAGTGGCTTATGGAATAAATGCTATCTTTGGGTAGCTTAGCAGGGTTATGTTATTACTGCTATATGGTATTAGAGGGACAATTACAGGAATATTATGTTCTGTTCTGGGGACTGTTTTTAAAAACAACACTGCCAAACTGGAAAGATAATAAGACTGTCAGAGAATGGCTACAGCTCTGTCTAGCTTAATGTACTGAAACTAAAGAACCAAGGTAAAGTGATTAGTGTTTACAGTTCTGTGTTGTATAAGAAGTTTGAAAGAAGCCTCCTTTTATTATCAGAAAGAGATGGTTAGATTCGGTAGCTGAAAACAGGACTACACCAAAACTAGAGAATTTTTTTAGGCCAACAGTTGTGGTTTTTGGTTTTGCTTTGTTCTTCATATTTTTAAAATAAAATTTACTGTCTCTTTCAAAGTCAATAGAGTTTTTCTGTGAGCTTCTAACAAGCTTTAGTTCCAGTGACAGGCTTTACTGTGTCTTATGCTTCACAGTATACATTTCTGTGGCCTTCACTGAAGTCTGATTGATCTTGGAGCTTGGGATTTGTGCTTTAGAAAGCTAACAGCCACTCCTAGTCTTTGCTGGGGAAATCTGAACCCTCTAGTGAATAGGATGTTTGCCACAAATTGAATTTGCTTGTTTCTTGGTTCTGCCTGTAAGTAAGCTTTTTGTTCTAAAGGCCAAGGGCTCAGAGATGGGTGATTCCTACCAGTGGGTTGGGGGCTGCTATTTACATTACCCAGGTACAAAGCAAGTGGTGTTATCTCTCCTTTGGTAGTCCTCTAATGTATGTAGCTGCCAGTCTCATTGCAGCCTGAGCTGTTCCTTGCTTTGGAGAGATCAAGATAGCTTCTCCTAAAAGGCTTCTCTGTGTTTGATCAATGTTTTCTATTTTCTTTCTAATTAAATGCTCTTGTTTGTCTTATTTTGTCAAATGCAGTATACATATCAAGAAAGCAAAACTAACAATGTGATCTTTGGCTTAGAAAACTTAGGGAGTTTTGTCCTTCATTAAAATGTGTTGACTGCTTTTGGACATGCTTGTCATCTAGGTATTTCTGTAATTTTTAGCCTGTTGTTTTGAAGTTGGATGAATAGTAATTGCCTGCTTCCTGAATCTGTTCTTCTGAAATGAACTCAGCTTTATGAATTAACTTAGTCCAAAACCTGTCAAGAAGAAACACCTAACCCTGCCATTCTCTTTGTACCTTGATGGAAACATCAATCCCTATGGGATTCACTGCTTGAGTATCTAGTCATCCCACATATCACAGTATAAGCTGTTGGCAATTAGTTACTTTCTTTCTCATTGTAAAATGAATTAAATGCATGGGGATATATTTTTAAATTTAAAATTAACCTGACACTGTTAATAGTTTCTAATGCTTGTGATTAATATCGTCAGCAACTATTGTTTTATTTTGTTTTTTTCTACTTAAGCACCTTTGCAATGCAATTTTTCCCTAATGAGTTTATTTATTAAGTCTTCCATTCATGAATATGTAGCCTGTACCTGTGAATCATCTGGAAAAAGTTAAATGTTAAGCTTGTATTCTCCTCAGAAGAAAGAGTAGTTCTCCTTAGATGAAAAATTGTTTTTAACTTCATTGTGTATATTCCATAACTTGCTGGCTCAAGGAGTGTCTTACTCTTAAACAGGAGGTAAGCAGAGCTTCATGTGACTTTTGTTCTTATTCCAAAATTCTGGTCAGGAAGCTTTCTTATAGGTATCCTGCAATTTTGTAGTTTGCTGAAATTTTTGGAAGAAAGTTGATTTGTTACCTCTGGTCCAAGGTGTGTGTCTTACCACTACAGCTTTTCTCATGTTGTCCCAGGCTGTGAAGCTTCTCCTGCACTTCTTCATGTCTCAGAAACACTATTGTGGGGTTGATTTACAGGAAGAACTGCATGCCAGACATGTAGGTAAAGCCCACTGCGCACAATGAAATTCATTGTCAAGTGTGGGATTTCATTACTAGTGCATTAGAGGAACAATGATACTTAGAACAACAGTAAAGAAAAATATCCCCCCAGTACAATTTGTAAACTGTTTTTTCAAGTTTGCTACTTACTTATTTTAGTACCTCTTACATCTCCTGTGACACCATTTCAGAAACAATACCTACTGTAATCGGTGATTTAAGTTAACATTGCTGATATTATGGTTGAAAAGTTTCTGGGTAGTCTGTTTTGCATCCCTGCAGGTTCCTGCCATCGCGTTTAGTGGTGGCCATGATCTGAAAATCTTGACAAGTACTCCAGGCTTTGTGAAAGCCCTATGAAATGCTGTTTGTTCAGTTGCACGTTAATTCTATCATCTATATAACATAGCTTCATGGAAGCTTGTGAAAGATAAGGCAAATTGCTTTTCTGTGGTCAGCTGTGGGACTCTGGGGTGCTGCATATCCATTGTGAAATAAACTGTTTATATTTCCGGAGAAACTTATATTTTGGTTATAAACGAGACTTCAGTGTTATTAAAACACTTTTCATAGGAAGATGACCATTTTGTATTTGAAAAATTCTTTCCTGCTTTGATGGATATGTTGAGCTTTGTAACAGGTATACACTTTGTCAGAGTGAAACAAAATTCTAGCTTGAGCTCCTTTAGTTCATGTGCAAATTGCAGTTAAGTTTTCAAAACTTTGTATTTTACAAACTGGGCTTCTGCCAGCTCCATTGTCCTTTCTTGGCCTGGGCTGATGGAGTGGTCATGCTGACTCTGAGACATGGTGGGAGACTTGCTGCTTTTTCCATGGTGGTTATGCATGATGCAGCTTTTCTGTTGGCTCTGTAACAAGTGAGGGTCACACTGAGGAGTGTGGGGATATATATGTAGCCTGTACTACTGTATTATTGATCTTTAATGCAATCTCTGTGGTAGTAAATCCATACCTCCTGGATTTTCTGGTGCCAGTGGAATGGGGGGGCTGGCAGAACTGTGCTGGTTCACAGCACAGACTTTAAGCACAGCCCTGATGTGCAATAAAGGAGTGCTTACACCTTCCTGGAGTAACTGGTTATTCTTCTTAACACTATTGAGTATTTTTGGATTAAATATGAGTGAGGATGAGAAAAGCAGAGTAGAATTTATGAATATTTTAAAAAAAAACAAACCAAAACAAACACAAACATATTATATTTCCTTCCAGATTATAAAAACGCTTAAGGTACTACAGGATTTGGACGTATCGCTGGATGTTCTAATGGTAAGTGACCAATAATACACCAGGTCAGTTATCTGAATCTTTTGTCTTTTAATAGCAACTCAAGGTTAGTTTCATGCATTTAAAGAGCAGGTATCTTAGGTTATAGAGTAAGGATACTTGTGACTTTTATCCTTATCCAAGCTGCATACTATAATATAAGAAATTCTTACACTGGTGTTCGAAGCTTCTGGTTATCATGAGTGGTGTGTCTGTATTTTGGGAAGAAGAGGAATGTGTTTTTTTGTGAGAGAGTTCTTTGAAGAGCAAAATATGTTAATTAAGGTATTTGCCTGGCCTATTCAGGCAAAAGGACATTTGCCTGGCTTAAACACAGGTAGACTTCCACTGGAATACAGCAATATTTATGTATTTTTTAATTGGAAAAAAGAATTACCTCTTATTGCAGTAACAAAGGGCTTCTTCAAACAATTAATGATCCCAGCAAACTTGCATGTTTTATAATGTGACAGGCTTTGATGGAAGCCTTCAAGTCAAATAGAGGAAAGAGATGTCTTACAGCTGAGGTCTCTACATATTTGTAATGCATTTGAAGAACATAAATAGCTTTAGGAAATAATCCCACCATTTTTCTTGCACGTATTTGCAATACACTGACATATCAAAGCAGCAGGTATAGAATTATGTAGAAGCTAAATATCCTTTAATTAAATTTAAGGAAGTCCTGTCTAAGTCAGTGACACATGTATAGCTTTTACTCAAACTTAGGACTATCATTTCACTAGTTAGCCAGAGCATTAAGAGGTGAATTCCAGGTTTTGTATGCCTCTGAAATGTGATAGTTCATAAATCAGAGATGCTTAGTGATAATATAAGATTAAAAAAAAAACAAAACACAAAAAACAGTGGTTCTATATACATTCTGAGTCTGCAAGATAGTTCTGCTTAAACAACATAACACTCACTAAACCAAGACTTGAAGGCACAAATGTATTTGAAAATAATTTCCTGGGGGAAACCAGAAAATGCCAGGTTTTAAATGTCAAGATGGTTTGGTTTTTTGTTTGATTTTCTTCCCGTGGCTGAAACTGAGTCTGAGTCATATGAACTCTGTTCCTCTGACCCCTCTACCTCATACTACTCCTTGTTGAGATGCATTTTAGATTACAATACATCTATCATATGGGTTCTCTACATGCTGAAATGTACCTGCACAAGCCTAAAGGGAAATTTGCAGTATGCATTTTGTGGGTATAAGCATTTGAACCTATTGAAATTCCTAAAATACATACATTTAATGGAGGAAAATTATTTCTCATAGTTTTATGAATTAAGACTGCATTTTTTCCCCCTGTATTTGATTATAAATACCTACCTTTCCTTCAGTTCTATTTGCAGTGTAAAGAGTGCATTTATTTCTTTAGCTGCCATAAGACTTCTTGGACTACTAGGCTAATTCTGTTTGCAGCAATTTTAGAGAAGGTTTTATTTGGACTGTTAGTTATGAGTTATTCTGCCCATCTTTCTTACATTGTCTTCAACAGGAAACTGGCATAGGCAAAACAGTCAACAGTTTTAGGAAACATGCCACTGCTGGCAAGATAGCTAAAACCCTGGTAAAACAGTGGAAGAAACTTATTACTCCAGAAAATAAAAGGTAAGTATGAACTAACTTAAAAAACCCACTTAATTATACTGTAAACTAACTTAATAAAATACAACCTGGAAAGCTTAGGAAGGTGTTTGGCATGACAAATAATTGTTAGGACAAATGCAGAAGTTTCATGGAAGAAATAAAAAAAAAGCATAACAGGCTGGCCTGTTGTAATCTGTATTACCTACAATGCATGTTGTAAATTGTGTCTCCTAGTTACTTCAAGTACCATGTCTGTGTTATAAAGCAGGGAAATTTGTGTAAAAAAAGTGGTATCCAACACATTAAAAACATGTAGTTAGGCATGTTTTCCTATTGATGGTTATGGCCCTACTCCCACTTACCTTCCTGTCAAGTCTTGTTGCAGTATTTAGTGATGTTGAACCAAAGAGCTGCTTCTCTGGGATTCTGTACTGATAATGGAAAAATAAGAGCAGAGCACACTTCTGGGTTTTGTAAAATGATAACACATGGTGTGATTTTTAATGCTTATAGTTTTACTAATAGAGGTAAAAAAGATTGCTCAAGAATTTAGCATGGGATATGGTGTGGGATGAGATTTATTTTTTTTTGATGTTACAGTAATCACAGAGGAAGAAAACAAAATATTGAAAAAGAAAAAGCTGAGACAAGATCTTCAATCCCCAAGGAGATTAAGCCTTCAGAGAATTCCAAAGCATCTGTACTGGCCTCCAGAAGTTCCAAGAGCACTCCTGTTTCTGACAAGTTAAATAAGAAGCGTACTTGTAGTGAAAAAACCCACCAAAGTAGAGATTCTGAGTCTCAAAAAGAATGTGATAATAAAGAATGTAGCAGCAGTTCTAAGCATGCTTCCCAGGGTACCAACCCTCAAGCTAAAGAAAGTGACTGCAAAGAGACAACCCCCAGAGACAGCAAGAAAGCTTCAGAAAAGCAGTGTTCCTCTGTAGCCAATAAAGAACTATCACCCCTGAAAAAAAAGCCTAGTAAGGATGGTTCCAAACAGGGAAATCTTAGGCATGCAAAGAAACCAAAACAAAAACTTGTCGTAAAAAGAACAGCTGAAATATCTAGTGAGGAGGAATTCGAGCCCCCTACTATGTCTTTTGAATCTTACCTTAATTATGATCAGATTAGCAAGAAAAGAAAGAGGAAGGCTTGTTCTACAGGTGCACAGCCAAAGAAGTGCAGTGAAAAGAGCAGCTCATTGCCACACAAGACTTCTCATGCAAAAGAGGGAGAGAAAGATGTAAATAGATGTGATCAGTTGGAAACTCCCAACAAAAAGGTAAACCACTGCAGGGTTGTAATTATAGCATATACACTGCAGATGAATAGGAGCTTTGGACTCTTACTTTCAGTGAAATTCAGCTGTGTTTATTTTAAGCAACAGATTGCATGGCACCAGCACATCAGCTGCATTATAATTGCCAATAACTGCAATAATTGGGGCATCTACTTGTATTCTTGGGATGATTTCCAATATGGCAATAGTCTTTAATCCATATCAGTTAATCTGCTTTTTGCCCACAAAGTAAAGGTATTTACCTTTGAAAGGGTGTCCCTTTCTTCCATTCTTGACCGGCCTGATTTATGACTGTAGCAGCTCTCTGTGTATAGCACAGTCATTTTGTCAGGTGCTGCGGTTCTTTATTAGTGCACTGATTGCAGATATCCCACTTAGTTTCTTTGTGTTATAGTCTTGGAAACTAGACTATGAAGAGTATGCTGAAAAGTAATAGTGAGTGAATTTCAATGCAGGAAAGCAATAATTCTAGTTATCCTAGTTAACTTTGGTATTTGGTTAAGGGATTTTTTCCCTGTAGTGTATTTTAAGCCTCAGTAATCCCAAATTTGTAACATTGAAACAATGTTTCCTTGACTGTGTGCAGACCAAGATGGCATCCCTCCAAGATCTTCTTAATACTCCACTGCCTAAATTTCTAACAGGCATCTCAATCTCATCTCCCCCATATGCTGCAGACTTTAAAGGTAAGTAGTATGAAAGGCTGATAAATGTGAAATAGTGCATGTTTCTACAGCTCTACATAGAGATTTCTTTATCCTCTTTTCTAATAAACTATATTTACTCATCTATCCATGGCAAGAAATGCCTCACCTTCACTTTCTCATCTGATTTCATGTTAAAGCTGAAGGGAGTTATAAAGGCTTTCCTCTTCTGGCTTGCTGAAAAAAGAAATACAGAAGGTTGCCACAGATGTTGAGAAGACATAGATCAGGTGCTAATTCTACCAGCTCCATTTGTATTTACTCCTGTCTATACCTTACAACAGGCAAAGTGTCAGTAGAAATAGTTGAATTTAAAAAATATAGGAAAAACTAGGTCTAGCTTCAGCATAGGAACTTGTTAGTATCTTTAGAAGTAGGTGCCTCTAGAAGCTTTTGTGAGGTTTCAGTGGTTTCATGTCACTCTGGTCTAGAAACATCACTGTTCTTGCAGCTTCTGGCTTCTCTAGGATAACTTGGAAAGATAAATAATGTGCTGTAGACTGGTAACAATAATCTAGATGTGGACACAGCTCATGTAGACCTTAGCTAAATAATGTAGGGCTGGTTTGAGGTGGTGCAGCTCACTTGCAAATTATGTGCCGTCTTGATGTTAATGATGATGAGTGGACTTTGGTAACACACAGTACATGTAAGGAGTCCAAGCTGTAATGCAGTGTTTTTCTATTTCAAGAAAAATAAATATATGTCTGTCTCACCAGTTATACTTCTTTCAAAGCTGAATGTTTAAAGCATTTGAAAATATCAGGAGGTGAAGGAAACCCTGCCTGATGCTTTGTTTGCAGCTTTGCCAGCACCTGTTGTAGCAGTGTCCCAGCAAGTCAATGAGGTGGTTCAATTCACAGGACGGAGACTGAACTCTAAAATGCAAGTTTACTCTGGCTCTAAAACAGTCTGTCTTTCAAAGATGCTTACACTGTATGAACTGTGCATCCGTGTGCTTCAAAATAATATTGATTGTGAGTACTTAGACTTGGAGCAGTGTATCAGATTTATTTTTTTCTCCATGACAACAACTGGCCTACTAAAATATATTGTCTGTCCCTACAAATAGTGAAAAGGTTGAAAAGCACTTAAAAATGGATTCATGGCTGTGCTGAAATGTAGTTTTGAAAGCTTACCTTTATTACTGTAAAATATAATGTCCTATAAATCATAATCCAAAAAGCCTGATTTCTTTTTTTCCCCCTACCAAGATGTTTGTTTGCATAAATTAGAATGAGTGATCAAGAAATAGTTTATTCCCTTGCTTAGGCAGAGAGGGGAGTGATGCATGTTGGTAAAGATGGGGCAATAGCTCTTCAAAGACTCTTTCTCTGTCCTCAAACATAACTGCCAGTCAGCATGGAAATGCTGTTTTATAAATATTTTCATAGCCTAACTTCACAACATGTGTTCTGTTAGTGCTTGCTAAAATTAATTTGTGTTTTTATTTTTAAACTGCTTGAGTGGTGTTACCCACTGAGTAAAATAAATGAGATCCTGAAAGTGTTGTCCTCTTTTTGTAGTGCTACGTGAAGTAGGAGGTGTGCCCTTTGAAATTCTTGAACCTGTGCTAACACGTTGCACACCAGAGCAATTGTTTCGAATAGAGGAATGTAATCCGGTAAATTCTGCCTTGTTAAATTCAGGGAAGCATGGAGGACATGAGGCATCTGTTTCTGCCTTTCTTGCTCTCATTTTGATAGGTGACTCTCTTACCAATCACCTAACAAAATCACCCTTTTGATTCTTCATGGGTTACACTGGTTTTCTGTTTGCATGCTTACTATCTTGGATTCAGCTGTCATTATCAAGCCTCCTTTTCTCAAAGTTTCAGGGTTTAAAGCATTTGGGAGAATTATTACTGATGAATATGTGAAAGCCAGTATGGCTAGAAAGGTATTTGTATTTGTAAAAAAAGACCACAGTATTTACCACCAAAATAGTTGGGAAAGTCATAACAGAACCAACTGTTTTCAAGTTACAAACTGTTAAGGCTGCAAAGCATACCAGTTGGGAAGTATCTGGGTTCCATGTGTGTGGTAGATTTATCTACACTGTTAAGACTCCAGCTCCATGATGCATATGGACATCAAGGTTCGCAGTGTGTAGCAAATTGGCCATTTCTCTGCAGGTCTAAAGTTGAGAGACTGAGCCTATACTGGAAACACAAGTCTAGCCTGTAAGCATGGCTTATTAACTATAGAGCTCTGCTACTTGAAGCTATGTAATCACTAGACTGAAGTCAGTATCTCTGTATGGTTTTGCCATGCTCCATCTCGGGGATACCTGTGACACCTTGTGTGGTGGGATTTGTTCTGCACTTTTTTTCTGCTAGGGAATTGGTCTTTGTCAATGGCTCAGGTGCTCCTGAAAATGTTATTTTAAAATTCTTAATTTAAGATATCTCATGTTCAAATTAGGCATTTACAGAAGAGTCTGACCACTTGTGGAAGAAACACTGCCAGAGAGATTTTAAAAATGAGATCCTCCCAGAGTATGAGTCTTGGCGTGAAATGTACTTGAGGCTGTTTAATCAGAGAGAAGAAAAACTGAAGGTGCTTACAAAAAATATCCTTTCAGCTCAGTCTGAGAAACCAAAAGGTAAAATCTGTGGTTAGCTTTTCCACTTACAAAACTCGGTCTCTTCTGCTATTCTTGACACTTAATATGTAGGGTTTAGTGATATGTTTGCCCTGAGTACTAATGCTGTACCTCTAGGAGAAGTCATCAAGAGAGAACACTGTTCTGTTAAATTTAAAAAGATGATAAAAAGATTAAATACCTACATTAATACTGGAAATTAATGCATAATACTTGCAGCACACAGTGGACAAATCTTACCTCACTGGTTAGGCTGAGAATTCTAAGCAACACTACAAAGTACAAATGTAATTACAAATACCAAAGTTAATAAGAAAGGGTACTGTATGCAGTAGATGTGCTTTGGCATGGCTCGGTTACTAACTAATTGGGTACCAGATTGTGCTGTTCTGAATTATTTTTTTCCCAATTTAACCCAGGAAATTGCCACGCAACCATGTTATCAACTGAATTTTTATCATAAAGGGCCAAAAAGTCACTTATCTTCTGCTCCCTGCTTCTGTATTAGGCAGGCAAGTAAAAATGACTTACGTTACCAGTGCAACAAAAACACCCAGGAACGTTCGCCGACAGCAAGAAATCCATGGGACAGCAGGACCTGTCACTCAGCTTCATCCCACAGAGAAGTGCAAGTAAGTGTTCTGTACCATGCTTTTGATTTGAGTTTAGAGGTCTTTGTCAGTACAAAAGCTTCCTGGCAAAACAGTTTTTGAAGTTATAAATCTATTTACTTTCCCTTTTTTAAGCAGCTAGTGGCTAGCAGCTAATGTGCCTTTTAAGTCTGGCATGCTCCTTGCCCATGTATCCTTTGCACATTTCTCCCAAATGCCAGTGTTGAATGCACCCTCCCAGCTAGAAAGTGAGTGGATGATGTTTTTCTCCAGATTACACTAATGCTGCTTGACATCCTGGGGAGATCTCAGTGTTGATGTTTCGTGTTTATAAACCTGCCTACTAGCCTCACATTTTCTCCTGCTTTCCTGAAATCCCAGTCAGCTATCTGGAGTAATATAGCTGACCAGAGTGAATCTCAGCAACTTTTAATGCTCTTGATGTTGGATTTCTGCTTTGGCAGCTTAAAGGAGTGTCTGGAGTCAGTCTGTAGCAGTAGCCAACACTAATCACTGAAGAAACAGAAAATTCTGGGATTCCAGAAATGTTTCCTATGTACAGCAAAAAGCCATTTTTTTTTTTTTTGTGACATCTTAGTTCAGAGTAGTTCAACATCCATGAGAGCCAAAGCTGAGATGTGATGTTTGTGCTACTGTTCCTGCCAGCCTAATGAACTCTCTTGTATTCAAGAGGATGGCTGCAATGGAAAGATAAACAGGCTATAGCACCAGCTTCTATCTCTTCTTCCCCTCTCAACTATGTGGACAGACAGCTGGGTTTTACTGTTAGAATATCTGTTCTTGTCTGAAAGAAAAATCAGCATTTTGATTCAGTTGGTGAGTCCATATGCCAGCAGTTGGACCATAAAAGCTGTGGAGAGTATTCATACTGTCTACATGTAGGTATCTTACTCTGTGGTCACTCACTCTACTGTGGCTGTTGGTGAGCATTACCTTGGCCCCATCGCCTGTGGCTGTTCCCATGTTGGCATAACTGCTCTTCAGCTAGCTCTCTCAAAATAATCCCTTTGGGGGAGTGGCAGGTGGAACACTTTTCATTAGTCTGAGTTAGAGAACAGTTATGCAGGTTGACAAATATGTGAGTGGATAAGTGATAGCAGGAAACAAGGAGAATAAAACTTAGGCTGTTGCAAATGTGACACAAGTCAGACAGTATAGCTGAACATATCAGGAGAGTGATTTAAATTTGCTTCTGTTATGATGTTGGAGTGCCTGCACTTGTGCTGAGTAATTGTTCAGTTTTACGCATGTGAATTAGGTAACTGAATTGACCTGGGTTTATTGAAGTGGAAAAGAACACCTATAAAACTATGGGAAAGTGTTTTCCGTGAATTTCAGGAGCTTTACTTAGTCAAGCAGTCTTGACTTACTGCTCAAGTTGGTGGTGGTGTGGGGAAGGAATGACAGTGTGGATGTAGTAATGTCTTAAAATCAGCTTTTACACCAGATATGAGGTTTTTATAGCTGCACCTTCAGCTGATGAAATGAGGAAGGTCCTTTCCATACTGTTGCTGTTTTCAATAAAGAAAGTCCCTCACCAAGCTTAAGGCACTTTGATTTAGTCTTTTCTTTTCCATTGCCCTGTTGGAAGTTGTATCTGTGTTGTGACAGACTGGCCTTCCAATTTAGGTGCTTCAAGTGTAAATGTCCTTTCTGCTTCAGCAATCTCTGGACTAGTAACTGAATGATGAGCTCAAAGCCCTGTGTGTAGTTTTGTGGTTTTTTCCAGGCATGATAAATTAGGAAGAACTGCTGTTGTCTGAAAGAAGCTGTAAGAGAGTCATTGCTTTGTCTTGTTGAGAAACAAGATTTTGCTTAGGCATGATGAGTTTAACTTAATTACTTTGACCATGTCCTCTGAAAACCTGTTGGTTTTGCAAGTTCCAGAAATTGTACAGCTGAAATCTTTGCTTAAAAAGCCGGTCTTCCAGGAGCTAAAAAGGTCCTGTGACAGAAATGCAGATCTCTAGCAGGCTGCTGTTTGCAGATCAGTATGGAGAAGTATATGATAGCTGGCAGCAGAAGTCAGACTGTCTCTGAGGTATGCAAGGCTGCCCAGATTGGTGACATCATGCTGACACTTTAATGTTGTGTTGTTTTAACTGTCTTTAGCAGTAGGCATTAACTCTGCCTCAGTCCTTCTCCTGTTGAGGATTCCAACCTAATATTTAGGTTGGTTCTTGTGCCTTTTGCTAGACATTTCTGCTTAAGAAAAAAAAGAGCTTGTGTAAATTTATCCTCATTTTCTGTTAGAGCTAGTTAGTAGCTTAACTGTGTTCAGAGAGGATAATAAAGACAAAAAGCAAACTAGAGCACAAGGTATGGTGAATCAGAATATTATGCTAAGCATTTTAATCTGTCACAATTTCTGATAGTTTAATTCTAAAGACAAATAAGTTACCTCAAACCTAGCCAATGGAGAATTTGTGCCATAATGAAAATTGAATAAATGACCATCTGAGATCCCTTCTAACCTGAATTATACTATTTTTAAATAGATAAGAAGTCTTAAATGTTTGTGATTGTGAGGTTTTTTCCAAATTGAGTCAGAGCAAATAGCTGTTTAATATATTTGGTATCAAATGATAACATTTTGTCTTATTTCCTTGTTTCAAAAGAACAAGGGTTCCAGGAAGCAGAGACAGAAATAACACATCATCAGATCTGATCCCTGCTAGCAACAGTGGAAGCTCTAGCTCAAGCACAATGACTCAAGATGGGAAGAAGCCTCTCAAAAGTAAATGGACTTGCCTAAGATTGTAAATATAATTGCTTTAACTTGCTGTCTATAAATACATGCTTAATATTATGCTAGTACCATTTTAAGGCACTCACAGCTGTAATCCTAACTGGTCTCTTTTGTTTGTTTGTTTATTGAAGAAGTTGCACCAATCATGAAGAAGACTTTGAAAGCCTTGAAGAGTAGAGCTGGACGGCGATAAAATGATGCTGCATCTTTGAAGCTTATGTGACTGTTTGTATATTGTGCTCTAGCTAATGAAAGTAATGTTAACGTAAACACTTTTCAGTTTGCCTTAGTTAAAAAAAATATGAAACATTGCAGGGGCAAATGATTTCCAATAAAAATGGAAACACTGAAGTTATTTCATACTGCTGCTTTCTTATTTATGAATGAGGAAAACTGAATTGAAATAAGGTCAGCACACACTAGTGACATATCAGTTTATATGGACTTTTATAGAAGCCATCTTTATCAGTTTTTATATGCATTTGCATGAACTTTTTATGGAATCACTGAAGATGTGGGTATATTTTGTCAAGGGTAAAGTCATCTTGTAGAAATTGCCACAAGGCGTAACTACAATTGCAAAAAGGTCTTGGTGTCTCTTGCACAAATACTTTGGTACTTTGTGTGTTTGTTTCACTAAAGTAGGGAGACTTCTACCTTTTTTCTTTTGGTGGAAACATTATTTGGTTGGATTTTTGTTTTTCCTCTTCTGAAAACAGAATCCTGTTTATAAGAAGTCCTGGAGCTCCACTTCTGACCTGCTGGAAGTGGGCTGTGAAAAATCCTGACTCAGGACACCATATGCTTTTTACCACTTCTACTTGACTTAGGGAATGAGCCTTTAAAGGGAAGGTAGGAGAAGACAATGTTTAAATTTAATACTTTTTTTAAAGCAGCTTTTATATACTGCCAGGGTAAACAGAGCAGGCCATGACAGTGAGTTAGTGAAAAAGAATGTATTACTCAGGAGCTCTGTCTAGTTGAGATATTTTTGGTATAATAATTAAAACTAGACCTGTAATTTTGTGATACTGTCTAAAGACATTAAGTCCTTGTGAGGGAGGTGATGTTTTGGGAACAGGCAGAAGGGAGGGAAACCAAGAATGTAATCAATTGAATGCTATGTTCATCTTGTAGAACTCATGCAGGATAATCCGTTTAGGCCTGGAGATGAGAGGAAAACTTGTGCTATACTTTGGTCTGCTGCTCTCAGCCTGTCATGGAAAAGCCTAGCTCAGAACCTTGAGTATGGGCCATCTGTGTTCAAAGTGAAAAAGCTATTTGGTAGTGCATAGCTGCCCCTTCAGAGGGTGGGGGGCTTTCTGCAGTCTGGGGTTGGTCTATGAATGGGTTTGCTTTTAGAACTGAGATACTTCTTCATACTTAATTCATCTAAATGAGTTCACTGGCATGAATTGTAAGTCTGACTTGACCTTGAAAGCATGGCTTACAAATGGAGGAACTTTTTCTATTGACTGCACTCAGTAGCTGCAAGTAGGTCTCGTTTATTCCTTTGTACTTCTGTAGGATTTGTCATCTTAGAACTCCTCCTGAAGCACAGGGTGTAAGGGTAATGTCATAATGAAACCAGTTGTTTTCTCCTACTTAAGATGCCTTAATGTGTGAATTTCTTCACCATCCTATACATTTTCAGGTAGATTACAAAAACACTGCTACTAAAAATGCCTTTAACAGTCAGGTATCATAATCACTCCCACATAACAGCTTGTGCAAATGCTCTATTTATTGATGGATTTTAAGTCAGCAGGTGTGCTACTGTGTGTGTTTTCTCCATATGTTATAGTTGTGCTAAAAAGAATAAGAGATGAAACCAGATGTGTTGACCTGGAAACTCTGTAGGGAGCTTTCTCTGCAAGCATTGAGTAAGAGAAGCAGTGCAGTGTCTGTCATACACATCTGTAAAGAAAGCTTCTGGGAGGAGCTATTCAGGGTTGGAACCTGGCTGAATGGCCACTGTGCCACCCCTTGTCCCTGAAACAGCTCTGGTCATTGTGCAGTTGCTAACCACTCATCAGTTCATGATGGAAGATTAATTCAGCTGGAGGCTTGTATTAAGTGTAGTGTGCATTGTTCAAGAATTCTGGTTTGCTAGATCACTTCCACTTACTGTAGTTGTTAGTATCCTTTTATGTAGGAAAAGACAAAACCATAACTAAGCCTTCTGCTGGACTCTAGCATTACAGAGCACAGTTCTAACCATTCAGAGCACCTATAGATGACAGGAGTGTCCCCTTGGGAGACTGAATTGTTGATTTAACTAGTAGACTGGCATTTTTAATTGAAGTAGGGAAACTCTTTTCCTCTCCTTGACACTGATGGCAGAGTTGAGGGGAGGGCAAATTTGGCTTCAAGATTAAGTGACTTTCATTTCCTCTTCTGGCTTTCTCTCACTTCAAAGGCTATAGATGTACCACTGGTCAGAGATGTGCAGAGGCTACCCATGGGATCAGATTGTTTTCCTGACAACTTCTACATTAGAAAATACTGTAGACAAGCAAATCTCTTTCCTGTAGAATAGTTGGTCCTACACAAATTTAAGGCTAGTTTTTTTCTTTCACTTCAGATGTGCTGTGTCTGTCCTATGGGCTAAATGCCCAACTGAAGCTGCAGTATGGTGGGGTGATCTGGGAATGCATCTCCAAGTAAATTTTTGAGAAATCCTGTTTTTGTGGTTTGACACTGCTTCATGACATGATTCAAAGCAAATGCAGAGGTAAATTCAAAGCTGTGTTCAAAAGCTGTATTCAATAGCTTTTTAATCTGAACTAGAACACTAATGTAAATTCTTCTGTGGTCTCCTGCCTTCCATCACAGTATGCAGTTATTCCATTAATGAGGAGTTCTTGCTGGGTCTGTGTTTTCTTGGCATCTGACATACCTAACAATGCATGGTACTGGAGTATACTGACCTGAGGCAGCTCACTTTCCTTCTGGTGTAAAGACTTTTGGTTGGTTTTGTTACATACTTCCCAGGCTTGTGTCTATGATAAATCCTGTATCCTCCTGCTGTTTGAACTCTTCTGTTTTGTAGCTGACTGGCTTTGAGGCCCCTGGCAGAGACCTGAGCTTGACTCAGGGCAGCTTGGAGGAGGAGACCTGTGGTCCTCTTCAGCTAAGTGGCTATTTTCACAAAAAGACTAAAATTCATGACTGCATGATGGCCTTTGTTTCTTTAGAAACGTGGCAGCTCCTAGTCTTCCTTCAGTATCTCTGGAACCCTTCATCTCAGCAGCACAGTGCTTTTCTCTCCAGGTGATGAGCAAGCTCCATATTAGTTTCTTGAAAATTAAGTAATGGGAGAAAAATATGGTCACAAAAGTAAAATCCTGCTGTTGTGAAAAAGACCACAATTGGAGAATCTGTGTTTTCTTGAACTGTCCATTTCATGCATAGAAACCACTTTCCACTTCCTGCCAATGTTTGTTTCATGACATTCAGGAATGTTTTTCATCCTGTTAGTGGTTGAGCCCAAGACGAAAGCTTGGCCTGGCTGCAATTCCACTTTAAAAGGATGTTTGATCTTGTCACTTAAACAGTCCTTGTGGCAGGAGGAGAAAACACAGCTTTGAGGTGAAGCATTCTTTCTTATGAGACCATGTTTAGAAGGTATGTGAAGTTCCTGGAGATAAGCTCTTCTTGGGCACCATGGAGGCATTCAAATGCTAGGTTAAGTCCTGGGCCAAAGCCAGGAAGAGGCTTAGGGTTTGATGTGATCCTTCTGGAAGAATTTGGAGACCTCAGTGAACTGCTCTGTGCATACTGTTGTCAATTGTTGCTGTTCCAAGGATCAGTATTTGAGCTGCTGCCAAAGCAAGGCACAACTGGGATCCCTGTCAGCAGGGGGGATATTACAGCATGGTGCTGTTGGCTGTCTAGTACTTGGGGATTTCTAAGGATTTCTGGTAGTCACAGGACAGTATCAGCAGAGGGAGCACACCCCTCACAGTATGAATCCCAGACTTGCCATCTGGAAGCTCAGGAAAAAAAATCTGTGCTGGGATTTAGTGTGGTGAACAATGTTGATGGATTGATAAGGAAGAAGACATTCCTAGATATAGTGCTTTTGGGCAGGGATAAAAACCAACCAACCAAAACACGACCCAACAAACCCCAAAACAATCAGTGAGGGTTGTTAGATTCTTTTATTTGTAGTAAACATTTTAGTTTTTTAAATTCTGCTTTGCACACTGGCAAGCTGCATCCTTATGCAACTATTGGATCTTCTTTCTCTCAGCTTCATAAAGCTGAACTACATTTTATTCTGTGGCATAGTCATTTCCTTTGGTTGCATGTCTTGCACTGTTTTTAAAACTTCAACCTTAATCTGAGGAAAAAGGGGGCCTCTGTGGCTACACATATTTTAGAAACAAAATTGCAGGCTTTTCAGAAAAGAAATTTGTGGAGAGCTGGGATCCAAAACAACAAAAAAGCATATTAAAAATAAGCATTTCTAAATGTGTGAAGGAATGTACTAATGCCAGGAGTCCTGAGAAGACTATTTCTTCAGATGGACATATAAAGTCCAAGTCCCTCATGGTCTAGAACCATAAAGATGAGAAGCTGTGTTCTCCAAGATGCAGCATCCTGGAATCTGAGGTCCAGCAGTCATCTGCATTTAAACCTCCTCACCTTCCTTACTGATGTGGCCCTTGAAAAAAGTTATACTAAAAAAAAAACCTTGAAATTGCAAGGGTTGTAGAATTAAATACATGATGGGGCTGTCTTAGTCTTTCAGAAATGGAAGATCAAATATTAAGGAAGTTTGAAAAATATTTTGGCATAGAAATCTACTTTTAGAATAAAAGTGTCTTTCAGGTTCAGAAGAAGAAACTATTCAGGTCAAGATAAAGCAGAAGGTTGGGGGTTTTCTGTTCTTTTTTTTTTTTCCCTCAAATTGCAAAGCTTTAAAATCCTTACTTTAAATGTGAAACTGCAAAGTCACGAGTATCATCTTTGTAGCTTAAGCCCTAAATGGTGTGCTTAGTGTGGGAAGTGCTGGTGGAAGCCTTCAGCAGCGTATGTTTTGTCAACTCTGTTTACAGAGAAGTTGTTGCTTATCACTGGTGACAGACCTAAAAATGGCACTTGCTCAGGGAGAGGGCTGAACAGCTCTGGGAAATCTTACGTAGTTCTACAGAACTGTAAGTGGGTATCCAAGCAGTAGACAAAGCTCTTTACCGCTCTCCATGCCCTATCCTTTAATATTAATGGAATTGCTGAGGCTGTGGAAGAAGGGATACTGCTTGCTGAAGCCTGCACAAGCAAGAAAACAAGCTGCTCAGGCAAAACCGAAGAGAAGCGAGCT